CGCTCCATCGCTACGTATGATTGGAGGGCGGTGGAGGGTTAGTGACACATGGTGCATGTTGAGACTGATGAAGATCTGAGGAGAACAGATGCATGTGCTGTATATCAAAAAACCAATAGCTACAGCATCTAAGATTTGTTTACTGATGGTCATTTATTGAAAATAAAACTGTAGCACTAAACTACAAATCAACCATTTGCAGGGGGGTAGCATAAGCTAAGTTATGCAGCTGCTAGCAACAGCTTCACATTTAGCCCACTCACTTTCTGCATAAGCTTATTTTCTAAAATGTCAACTTTATTTTCAAAACAGTATGAAACAAGGAGCCTGTATTTCTATCAGTACCACAGACTGTATATAAACATGGAAGGCATGACGGCTCCTCCATGTTAATGGTTGAGACAAGGACCAATATAAAAGTCAAAATACACATAAAATAATTTCTCATTTTGCTCGAAGATGTTTTCTTTCATTTAGGATTTAGGTTATAGGTAAATATAGGTGTTATCAAATTGTTAAGTGCTAGTGTTAGTTTGATGCTATGAATGAAAGATCACAATTGACAACTGAGACTAACTTGTCAATGGTCACGCATTTTTGGGCGTGGAGACCCATTCTCCATCTTTCTATTCGGTCTATGATCAGTTCTTCTCAGTTAGAGCTTCTGTTATTAATGTCCTTCTCTTCCTCTGTCCCCTCCCCTCAGGTTCTGGAGCGTCTCTTCCAGAAAGGTTTCAGCGTGGCGGCGTCATGCGGAGGCGGCGTGGACTCATCCCAGTTCAGTGAGTACGTGTTGTGTCGTGAGGACCGGCGGAGTCTGTCCATCAACACGCCCATCAGGATAAAACAGGAACCCCTGGACTAGAGCATTCTGGGAGAGGGACTGCCAAAACACAACCCCACCTTACTCCTTCAATCTTCTCACACCACCCCACCCTGCCTATTCCTGGCCCATCCGTGCCCCAACAGGACCACAACCAACCCCAAGCATACCGAAGTATTAGCAGAGGCTTTCTAACCTCGCTAGCCCTGCAGAACTCTAAGGGGAATGTAGAACCAAACAAAGGGAAAAAAAAAAGCATCAGCAACAAAAGTTTTTGATTATAACACCCAAAGATTCTGGGACTGTGATGAAAACAGCAACAACCACAAATGGACTCAGCAGCAGCACACTTAAACCATTTCAGCACCATGACTGGTTGATTTTTCCCTCATCATCTTAAACAAAAAGGTGTCCTGAACCTTTCGGGGGGGCCCAAACTGCTCCCCCTCTGTGAGCCTCCATCCACCAAGCTTCTCAACACACACACTGACACACTCACACACTCACACACACCCTCTACCCCCTTCACCAGTGTCATCCAGTTCTGCGTGTGTGAGGTCCATGTCTTGTCTGATTGGTGACAAGTGTGGCCTGCTGTGGAACAAGAAAGCTTTGGCAGACAGGACGCTTTTTATGGATGACAGAAAGAAGACATAATCTGATTTTGCGAATCCGTTGACAAACCCAAGTTTCCAAAACCCCCGCAACCCCCGACTCTGTCCCACCGCACCCCCCCACAGGCCGGGCTGAAGAGGCCAGGGCCTCGCCAAAAACAGCATCGATTTGCCAAACTGATTGTTTATTACAATTTCTCATTGTTGTTTCTAAAGTATGTTCTTCTTGCTCTTTTTGCTGTTCTTATCATGACATGGTGTAAACAATTATTATTAATAGGATTATTTTTAATGTCTCTTTTTTCCTTTCTCCAATATGAAGGATGTACGAACATTGTATTCATTAGGCTTCGAGAGCTTGTGAGGGAGCATTTCTTGGCAGTCGCTGCAGAAACTCAGATGTCTCCGGGCTATGTGGCTAAAGCGATCTGGCTGGCAATGCATTCAGAGCCGGAAAAAGTCCCATTGTTCAAACGGTGATGGAAGAGAACCTGGATGTTTCGACATTGTTTATAGTCAAATGTGCAGCACACATAAAAAAGTGCTCCGGAATTTGTGCTTATTAGCCCTAAAAACATATCTCGGGTCTCTGATCGGATTTTCCTACACGGGCACAGACATTTGTTCGTATTTAGCAGAAACTTTAAGAAGGTTGGTGAATATAAAATTCAGGTTGAAGTTGCACAAGCTCTCAGTGTACTGCAGTTCTGATGGGATAGAATGTTAAAGACTTGAGGACCAATGTGGAAAGTTGACGTTTACCAGTATGTCTCGTGATCAGCAAGAGATGTACTCTAAATGCTTTTACTGTTTTTTTGCACTTACGTTACCTACAGGGCTGTCCTGCCCCGCTCCCTTAAAAAAACACTTTTGATCCCAGAGACCAGTGCCAGGCCAAGGACACTAAAACATTTACCAACAGGCAAAATGTCCAAGAGAACCAATACTGTAGGTACCAAAGCAGAAGTGGTGCTGATTCTGTTGATTGTACAAACATAAAGACGTCATCACTTTTTTTTACAGTTTATAGCTAAAGGTGACACAATGCGTTATTCAGGCGTGTATGAAGGCTACCAAAATGTTTCCCTGTAGGCCTCCGGTCTTGACAGGTTTGTTGAGAATAGCTCACAGCATCTTCAAGTTTTAGAGACAACATCCCTGTTTGTTTCATTATATTGTCACTTCTAAGCCAAGATTATTTCAGCGGTTCTTCACATGTATGCGTGGCAGAACCCCAAGTGAACTGTACTCCTAGCATCTGCGTGTTGTTCACAAAGAGGCAAGTGGGCGGCATTTACTCGATCCTCCTCTCATTCTTTTGGTCTTACTCTCAACATTTCTGGATCAAAGACCAAGATCAAAGAGCAACAAGAAAGGCCAAGTTTTCATGCTTTATATTTGTGTGTAACTTACAGATGCTGTTTCTTCCATTCCAAAAGACAGAGAGATAGAAAAGGAAAAAAAAACAACAGAAGCTCATTCTGATCTTTGTGGGCGCTGTGAGTTGTTTGAGTTAAACTGGGGGTTTGTGTTTATAAACTAGTTGTTCATTAAAAATGGGCAGTAGTTCCTCTGACCATGTTGTCCTCATATCTGCTCTCTGCAGATGGCCGCTGATTAAACAAGGCCAATGAGTGGATAAAGATGAGCTCAGTGTAAGTGTAGCTCCCAGTGCTGTGCACTCCTCCCTGGGGGTCTCTCTCTTTCTCTCTCTCACAATCAAGCCCATCTTTGTTCTGACCTGCCAGTGGCCTGCGCCTTTGCATACAGTCGCCTCAAAGGGAATGGTCAACCAGGCCTTTCATGTGCCGAGGCATGTTGGGCTCTTCACTCCTCGCCCCCCTCTGCCTGCCCGAAGGCTCCCAGCTCAGTGGTGCCAGCAGAGACTCAGGGTTGCACCCCCTGCTGCTGTGTCATCCCCATGCCCTGGTTTCTTAAAACGCCTTGTGATGCTGTGGCTCACCGGACCACACCACAACAAAAACCAACAAAGTGATGAGTCAAATCTGGGCACACTCAGAACACAACATGCAGCCAGGCGACTTGGCTCTGACCGGGCCTGACATCTTTCATCCAGTTGATACGAGGTGTGGAAACTCATCTGGGTTAGCTCTCGATAAAACAAGGGTAGAAAAAAAATCCATGCTATGCTAAAACCGCACATCTGCAAAAATTACATTTTTTTTCAGGGAGGAGGGAACGAAGGCCTATTTTCTTACTGGTGTGGCATTTTCAAATCACAGAATGGGCTTTTAGCTTTAGCTGAGAAGTTGTGCATGAATGAAAACGTGACCATTCAGAAAGTGAAAAAGGAACAAAGATGGCTGGTGTGAGTTTCTGTGTTTGCTCTAACAAACCAGGGACTTGGAGTATAAACGGCACACTAACTAGTCAAACTTGACAGGACTGGAAACTTCCAAGACATGTTCACACACGCCCCCCCCCTCGCCTTTTTTTTTCGGATGGTACTGGCCAATGTTCAGCCAGTCCATATGGTATTCACTCCACCTCCGAGGCAGGTCAGTTGTACAGTTATTGTAAATTGAATTATCGAGACTCTTGGGTTTTACGGGACCCTCGTGTTTTTAAGAGACCTCTTTAGTCCTCTCCACGAAAAAGAATGAAAATAATTCAAAGCATTACATTGTGTACATATGAATTAAAAAAATTCAAAGGGTATAATAAGGTGCAAATGTATATTATTTAAAGTGTTTAAAAACAATTAGACTGTGGTATTAAAGGGCATGTGTTCATTTACAGTGTCTCCATTTGACTTTTCTTGCATATTTGCGATAATAAAAGGATGTACTGTAAATCTGATGTGTCTCATTGCACCTGTGTTGTTTCATTATCTTTAAAAAAGGGAAGGACAAGAGTTGGTTTTAGCAGCTTTGATTTGATCATGCTCAATTTGTCCTTGTCCTGCTGGTGTGTTTGTCACGGATGATGCCAGCTTGAAAAACATTTATGGTTGACGTATTCGGGAGGTTGAACCCAGCGTCCTGTAATTGTACTAATGAAGCCGGATGAGGCTCGCAGCCTATTGTACTGTACTGAATCAAGATCAGCTGTTTAAAGCTCCAGAGGAACTGAGGAACAGGCCAAGATCTAAAAAAAAACCAATATGCTCCCAAACCCCAATATTTTGCACTGAGTTAAATGGTTGGGTCTTTTCAAAAATGCTTCTGCTTAATTAGCAGCAGAAACCTAGGGGGACTTTTCATAGTTGAGCAGCAGCGCTTGACTCAGTTTGTACTTAGCATGTGCAATGTTAGAAATGGAAATGAAGCAGGCTGAATTAGTCGTTGACTTTGGTAAAAACTGTCTGCAAAAACATAACAGATAATTTTTTCTTTTGAAGAGTAAGGAATGAACAGCGGGGGACATTGCTTGGCTATTAAATCATTTTAGACTAGAGTTCACATCTTTTGAAATTCTCACAAAGATTCCCACCTACTTGATTTTGCTGAAGAAGAATTGCACAACATCAGAATCTGCTCAGTTTAGTAAACAGCTTATTTATTCCTTTACAAAATAGGTACAAATACATAAGTAATGCTTTTTTCACACAAACAGGAAATCGTCAAGATATGTACAAGAGTTTACCAAAAATAACGTGGTTCTAATAAACACAGTTTTGTAAACAATATTTACAAATCATTCTTATAATGAAATGTTATTTCCTCTGTCTAATTACATCAGTAATATTGTCCTAATATTTTGGCTAAAAAGCTGTAGTAGTAGTAGTAGTAGAAATGTCCTCCTGTGAAACCACAAGAAACCATAGAAACCATTATTAAAATAATTTCAAATCTCGACAATCCTTGTTGTGCTTGCTTTTAAAACATGGTATATTGGAGATAAAATTTATGAAAACGTGTTAAGAATATAAGCCAATCCCAGAAAAAGAAACAAAAAAGAAAACCAAGAAATATTCATATATTAATTGTTAAAAAATAAGTGTCTTTAGACAGAAACTGGCAATACTGTTTTTCCTTTATCAGTCATTTCTTTGCTATGATACAGTGACAGCTTTCAGTTGTCAGGTAAAATAGGTATAAAAAAAAGTGCTGTCAAAATGTACATTGCACAACAATTGTCGACCATATTTAAATAAATTTCAATATGACAAGAAAAGCTGCATAGAGGCCGAGATATTTAGTTAAATAGAAACAAACAGAAACATACTGGACAATTTTACATAACACAATAAGGATTGTGAAAAATAATGAACAAGGTGACAATGCAAGACAACATGTAAAAAGCAGGCATTACTCCTCTCTTCCATCAGTGATACAAAGAGAGAGAGAAATGGGAAACACATAAATCAGTTTTAGACTGGAGTCATATAACTGCATTTTTCCAGTTACACGTTACTTTACAACTGTGATATTTAACTTTGCATCAAAATACAAATGAGTGTAAAGCCTGTGCACTACAATTCTTAATGATCTAGCTTTGTCATTCAGTCATTATTAAAGTTAAAGAGAACTCAAGAGCATGAGGGCCATTTAAAGGGGAAAATAATCAGAGTTTTTGAGAATAAAGTCGTAATATTTCAAGAATAAAGCCATTGTTTCAGGCTGTGTGATATTTTACAGGGGAAATATCAGAAGATCAGCCCATTACTGGCTTTAAAATGAGGACAGCATCTTGTTAAGTTATACATTAGTTTCACAAATAACAAAACAACAAAGTTCTTTTGGCTCATCAGGACCACATTATCATAAGAATCAGGACTTTGAAACAATTGAAAAAGAAACTGGGTCTATTCCGAAGAAAGAATCACATGGTCTTGAAGGAAGCTGCCTCTTTTTTCTTTATTCTCGTAATACTGCGACATTATTTTCCAAATCTCCAAATAGTGTTTTTTCAATATGGCCTGAATACTCCCCATGAGAATTACTCATCTTTTTTCCAACTGTGAGAGGGAAAGATAAAGAAATGTCTGTTTTGATTCAAAGTTTCAGGACCACACTTGCAATATAAACCTCTCTGAACCAAAACACACCTCAAACAGGTGTCATAGTGCAGACTGTGGCTCTGTTTAATGACCTTTGTGTAAGGGGCTGCTGGACTCTGTCTATAGCACATACACAACAGGTGAACTGAGTGAACTTTCTAAATGTGATTCAATCAAAGCACATGGTTTTACAAAACATCAGATGTCATACTACTGACACATGGGTTATTCCTTTTTCTTACAAAGCTTACATGTGTTAAAATTATACATGCCGTATAATAATTCAAAAAGAACTATTTACACGTAAAGAACTTGATCGCGATGCTGTTATTTGGAATCTTAATGTTTGAAAATGATGTCTCGGTGCAGAAAATCTGGAAAAGGCTCATTTATTGATTTCAGCTGAACTACATTCATTGAACAACATATGTTCAACAAATAGCTCGTGGAGAATATCGTAGGCTGTATCGAGGTGCTAACAAACTGTAATTCTCTTCTCCAAAAGAATCCTTCCTTTGAGGTGGATCATTGAAGTTACTGCCGGTGACGTCGAATAAATACCCAACATACGTGGAACAAGTTTTGTGTCTAGTCCTGAGACACAAAAACATTGTCCCTCTAACAAATCCTTCAACACAAAGAATTTGATATGGTCTTAAAACTGAATGATCTAACTACACAACGTGAGGCTAAACAGAGAAGACACAGAACAACTGTTTTATTTTTGTATGTTTTTTTGTCTCTCTCTCTTCTTTCTTATTAAACGCTACATCAAACATCACTACAGTACATATGGAGACACAGAGCTGTAACATTAGACCTGATCTGAAGGCACGTGGCTGGGAAAGGAGGAGGCGGAGGTTGAGGTGGGTGCCAAGCGGAGTAGAGGCTACTTGAGCAGAGCACGGTAAAGGAGGAGGGAGTGGGCGGTCTCTCTCTCCTGCTCCATGTAGAAAATTAAGTCCCTGAGGTTGACGCGAGTGATGCGTTGCCGTTGACGTGATGAGGTGGACGGGGCGGAGGAGCTGGCCGGGGATCCCGCCGTGCTGCCTGATACCTGGAGACGAAGGAAGGGGTCAAAAGGTGAGATGGAGGAATTCATTCAGGGGAACTTAACAGTTTTCAAGACTCATAGTACAAAAAATGTAAATAGTTTCATTTTTGCAATTTCAGAATTTTACAATCCATTAACCTATTGCTAGTTTGTTTTTAGCAGCAGCAAAAGAGCTTTTCTACGGCAACAGGAACAAGCAGACAAAGGTCACTTTGAAAAATTCATACTGAACCAACCAAAAGGTCCAAGGGTATAGGGGAGATGAATTTTCAGCTCTATTCTCATTTCCATAAATATCACAAAATTCTGTTTTTTAATTCTTGATCTTTTACTGGCAGCTGACGTGGGTAGGATTTCTCCCAGTGCTGCTGATGGTCAATCTGACAGTGACAGACGGTTAGTGTGTTTGTGTCTCTCATAGGGGATGGCTCAGTTGACAGGTGGTCAAAGGGGATGAATTATTGGTCATTTTGGTTTAAAAGGAATTGCACCCCCCCCAAACAAATTGCCTACTGACTGGAGATGTCCATCTGCCAGCAGGTCCATCACTAGTCCAGACTGACATATCTGGACCAATTGACCAGTATTTGATGAACCACCATTAAATGTTGATGTTGATCAAATCCTAAAAGGTTTGGCGATCCCCTGATTTTTCCTCACGCAGAGCCACAAGGTTGGCATGTTTGGTGAAATGTCTGGACAGCTACTGGATGGATTGTCATGAAATTTGGCAGAGCCATTCATGTTTCTGTGGATGAATTCTAATTCTAAGTCTGTCTCAAATACAATCACATTCTCATCTGCCTTTTATTTCTTTTTTTTGTGCTATTTGTAGCATGTTAGCATGCTAACACACTACACCAATATGGTGAACATGTTGAAAATATACCTGCTTAGAATCAGTAGCATGATGATGTTTGCATTTTGCTGCAGCACCTCACAGACTCTCTAGCATGGCTGTAAACTCTGTCTTGTGTCTATGCAATTCTAAAATTCTTCCAGACAAGGAGAATGTTTCATACTCTTTCAACACTGTTAAGAAACCCTGAAACTAACCAGCTACAGAATATCATTTTCCGGCTATAGGTTAGTGAAGTGGGCTTGGGACCCGGAAGGTCACCAGTACAAATCCCTGGACTTCCGGGAAGAAATTTTGTTGGGGGAGGGAGTGAATGAACAACATCCAAGTACCTCAGGGCAAGGCAACTAAGCAGCATGGCCGCCCACCACTCCCACTGGGTGTGTGGTCAGTGCTCCTAATGTGTGTGTGTGTGTCACTGCATTATAAACCCTCTGAACTTTCTGAACTCACTATATTTATATATGTGTATTTAGTATACGGTTTGTCAACAGACTGGTGACCTGTCCAGGATGTACCCTGCCTCTCGCCACATGTCAGTTGGCCATGACCCTCAAAGAATGAGCAGTTTACCTAATGAATGAATGTATTTTTATGTTCCTTCATGTGTTCTCATGTGAACTGAAAGCAAAAATAAGTGTGCAATTCATTGAAGCATTAAGTGACTAGTATTTTGTTTGGGTTTTATTAACTGGATTTTCTCCTTTCCTGTGTTCCTAAGAATTTGATCTTATTTTGTTATTGAGTGATTAAATGGATGTTTGTCTCAGTGTCACAGCAGAAAGGATAGTTTCCATGGTAAAACACAACAGTGTTAAAGAGATAGTTCACCGAAAAATGAAAATTCACTCATTATCTACTCACCTCTATGCCCATGGAGGGTTGGGTGAAGTGTTTGACTCCACAAAACACTTTCAGAGGTAGTTGCAGCCAAATTGAATACAAATGAAGTCAATGGTGACCGATTCTTCAGACTTTATAAAACAACAGAAAAAACCCTGAAATGCCTCCATACTGCTCCTGTGGTGTCTGCCCTGACATTCAAATTTGACTCTTAACGGCATCAATTACACCATGTTATTAATCTAAATGTCTGCTGTGCTAACACGCGTACACTTGGGCGAGAGCCTGTGTGCAGTGTATGTGTACAAACGTGGACACAGCTCCAGAAGAGGACAACTGAGGACATTTAGACTAACAACATGATGTAAATGACACCGTTTCAAGTCGAATTTGAATGTCGGGGCTTACGGACACTAGGATGACACCAGAGGAGCCGTATGAAGAAGTGGTCACCATTTACTTCAATTGTATTGGATTCGGCTGAAACTGGTTAAAGGTTTTTTTAAACTATACCACTTCACCCACCCCTCCATGGGCATAGAGGTGAGAAGATAATGAGTGAATTTTTATTTTAAGCAACATTATGTTATCCATTCACTAAATGAAGTAATCATTGCTGAATGACAAACACAATGACCATATCAATGCTGTGTTCTCTAAACAAATGTACACCTCCAATTTGGAAAAATAATCCCTCGGGCAGAGAAGGAATGAGATCTAAAAGACACACTAACAACGTCCAGATCTTCAGGTGCAGCTGAGTGTTCCTAGATGTTTTTAAACTGGCTGAACACAAGACTGAGAAAAACACTGGCAACGAGCTCCGACAGCAAAGGAAAGCATCATTTTTATTTTAGTGTGTTTTATGGCTCTTTACATCCCCTGAAATATGAACAGATTTTCCCTCTAAGTAAACAACGCTGCTGACATAGATCTGAGCTGACGTCCCACTCTGAAATGGAGCCCTTGTTGTTTGTATTTGATCCAGGAAAAACGAGAACGATAAAAAAGGGAGTATACAGAGGCTGATACAAATCAAGAGATGCATTTACATTTGTAAATGAGAAACACTGGGAAACAAATCCAGCAAGTGCCCACTTGAACCCAGGCAGAGAGAAATAAGACAGACATTCCAGTCAGGAACACCCTCTCACAATTACATTGATTGCACCACTCTGTAAACACACAGCACAGACAGGCCTTAATTGCAAACATATGATGCGTATGAATTTACAAGGACCAAACCAAAGTCTCAACAGCACCCGCCCCCTCATATGCTTGTCTTTGTGTATACTGTATGACGATGCCTTGTCTCAAATTTCCCTCTGTACACTCTCTGACCCCGGGACACAGGATAACGAGTGACGATTGCCAGACCACTGTTCCCACAAACTTACCTCGACTACATCCACCACCTCCGGTCAGTCATAGTGACATGCTGGGAGGGACACGGGTTCTGGCAGCGAGTACAACCGGCTCCTCGTCACCCTGGGGCACACCAGACCCTCACTTTGGGGGAACGACCCCGGCCTTATCAGGTCAATCATGGCTGACCACATGTGAAAGATGAGCCTGCCTACTGCCATGCCAATTACTGCCACTCACAAGTGAGCCATGCGACAGGGCCACAGATTTTACCAATCAAAGCCATCCATCCACCTGGACGGATGGGCAGTAGTCGCCACAGGCGGTCGGTGCTGGGGTGGTGCCACGGCCACAGTGAAGATGATGGGAGTGCAGGCAGACATTACTGCACAGGTAGTGTGCCACAGCTCCCAGAATGCCTCGTTCCTGTCAGGGACAGGGGCAGCCTTAAGTGGGGCAGCCTTAAGTGATCCAAATACAGGCAGAAAGGTCAACGCTCATCCAGCGTTTCACTCAACTCAGCCGCTCCTCATCCCTCTATCTTTATATGCCCTCCACGTACAGAACGGCAACAACCCAAACACTGGTATGTTGTTGTTGGTATCTATGCAGACCCATCCCTCTAATGCAGATGGCACACTGTCAGTTAAAAAGGAAAATGAAACATCAAGGACCATAATTTCCTGTCACCAGCAATTACACAGTCATTGTGTCTAAAATCCAATGAGAAAACAAAATGGCAGGCTTTGTAAGGTTACGCTGAATGAAAATAAAAAAGAAGAGAAAAGAGAAGAGAAAAAGCAGGAGAGCAGAGGCACAAAGAGCGAGAGACAGAGACGAGGAGAGCAGGACTGAAAGTCTCAAAATCAGCTTGGCCAAGAAAGATCCATGAGGCAAAAAACAGCATCTGTCATTTTATCTGTGATGGGCGCTCGGAGGCATTATGTCATATGACATATCCATCGTACAGAACGCACAGGGATACTTCGATACATCTCTTCAGACATTTGACTTGTTTGGAGCCAGGGACAGAGAGAAAAACAGAGGAGAGGAGAGGAGAGGAGAGGAGAGGAGAGGAGAGGAGAGGTGAGGCTCATCTGTAGTGAGGCCTCTTCGCTGGCTCTGGTCTTCAGCCACATTCTGTTGAAATCCATGACAAAGTGCCAATGGGCCTGACATTGTTTTACACTATTTCACTCTCTACAAACACATGTCCATGCACACAAGAGCAGAGACAGTGAGTCTGTTTTGTGTAGCAGTCAATTAGTGTAACACAGTGTATGGAAAACAATACAAAGGAATGAAAGACACACTTAAAGAAAACCAGAGACCTGTGACAAATTTCGCCCATGCTCACATTATCAGACAAATACATTACTCCAGTGTCAATAATCCCTTGTGTGCATGAACTGAACATAACATTTGTAAATGCTCCAACCATGTGTCACCTGTATTGTAGTCATAATATAAGCAACTAGGTTATTTCTAAATGATGGAACTTGCCAAAAGAGAGGTACCACACAACAAATTATTAATAGATTAACAGTATCCTTTATTTTCCATACTGTCTATAAATGCCATTAAAAACCTCCAAGCCCGCTCATTCTCAGTGGCGGTTGGCACTACCGCCTACAGCAAGGTTCCTGGTTTGAATCCCAGTTCTGCACAGGTCATTCTGGGTGGAGTGCATGGGTTTTCTCAGGCGTCCTCCCACTTTTAAAAAACGTGCAGATTGGGGATTAGGTTAATTGGAGACTTTTAATGGACTGTAGGTGTAAACATGAGTGTGAATAGTTTTTTTCTGTATGTTGCTGACCGGTGAACCCTGCCTCCCACCCTACTTCAGCTGGGATTGGCTTCAGCCCCTGTCCACCGCAACCCACAAAGGATAAGCAGTATAGATAATGAATGGATAGATGGAAGGTAGCTCGATTTC